AGGTCGTAGCTGGACAAACTTAGTTAAATGATCTTGATACACCATTATGAACTTATATTCGCCATTTCTGTTTGACTGCAGATCTATCAGATCAACTTGACATCTTGAGTTTAATTCAGAACTAACCATTGGCTTCACAACAATACCTTTCTTAGGTGCACTGTGTTTCATTTGACACTGTTTGCATAAATTTAAATACAACATTACAACTTCATATGTAATATTTTTGTATTTAACTTGCAACTCTTTAAGCATACGTGTTCTTCCTCCGTGGCCTATTCTGGTGTGAGTTTCATATAGTATACTGTACAATTCTTCATTGGTAACATAATACTGTATGTTCGTTTCCCCTGGTTTTAATGGTACAATTAACTTCTCTTCATCATTAATTTTTAAAACATCAAAACGTTTTAATCGTCTGTAATCCAAAGGTGTGTTGCATTTAATTTTAGCAGAAACCACTTCAGAAAGTATTTTAGAATACTTTTCTTCAGAAAAATAAAAACAATTGTCTTCTCGTTTACCTGCAATTAATGCATTTAACTTTTCAAGAAAAAGATCACGATTTACTGCAGTATCCATTTAGTATAAATTAGGGTATCGGAAAAAAAATTAAGAAAACGTTGCTCGCGTTATCAAAGCTTGCATAAGACTGACAAAGCTGATTGACACCGAGAACAAAGGATTTGGCGGGAGAGAGCCAGTCATTTGTTTTTTGACTCTTCTGTTTTGGACCTCCACCAGAGCATATCTGTGATTGTCGACACACACCGGAGAGGATCCGAATGTACAACAATGTAATGAAATATTCAATCTTTCACCGACGTATTTGGTATCTGTTGATATTCACCGGTGAAAGTCGACATTCTCCAATTTCGGTCATTCACGGTAACATATCCAAATAAACAGGTGACTGAACACAATTTAAGACCAGGAACAATATCCAATGAGATCAGAACCTATGAAGCTCAAATAAAAAATTTAACCTGAGCAAATTAAGCAAATTGTACACCAGATGACTGAAAACATCAAGAAGTCATTTGCTAAACGTAAAGATAAAACGCATTTGCAAAACTATAGTCCACGGTTGCATAGATTTTCTGGGAAAGACATCGAAATACCTGGACAGTACACTGAGGCTTATGCCACAGTATCATGCCAAAATCATGAAGCTAGAATCTTCAGAGAAGGTGCTCAAATCTCTCCGGAAGCCTACACAAATCGTTATGATTAGTAACGATGCAAAAGAGTGTTCCTTCCTGGTGAAGTTCGGTGAAGATTTGAGACAAGAACAAAGGTTACAACAGTTGTTCACTGTTATGAATAAAACGTTGCGCATTCATGCTATTTGCAATCAGAGACACGTATCAGGTGAGTTTGCAAATGCAGAAAACTTCCTGTTTTTTTATGAGAACAAATAATAAATATATTTATTCTATACAGGTGATTTCTTTGTTCAAGGCAGTGGGGCTAATAGAATGGATAGGCAATATAAGATCTCTGCAAGAGTTTATATACATTACATTATCCGCGGAAGAAGAAAAACAGTACAAGGCGATAGATGTACACTATGAAGAGTGGATTCAAAGCGCCACACCCTCTAAAGCAGGTTGAGAGATATAAAGAGGCAATAGTGAAATACAGCGCAGCAAAAGTGATCGCTAAAATGAACGAGTTTATAAGTAAAATCATGTCCATCTGTAGAAAGCGTCGTTGTGATGTGTCGAAATTTTGTCACCACTTTTACCACCATGTGCATTGCTCATTGGAGTTTGGGTACCAGTGATCGACATCTTGGAAATCTTCTGATCGCAGTTCAATCTGGTCGTTGTTTGGGAATCGATTTTGGATTAGCATTCGACGTCGGTGTTGATCTGAGGATTCCTGAATGAATGCCGTTTCGTTTAACAGATCAAATTCTTGGTTTGCTCAGATCTTTCAGATCTTTGAAAAATATCTTCTACGATCTATAATGGTACATACGTTAAAAGCGCTCAGGAACTAGGCAGGTCCTATCCTATCTTTTTTTTGTTCACAAGCCCTTAAATTTGACTGAACATGTGAACAAAAAACAGCGAGAAGATGGAGATGATATCGCGGACATTAGATGGATGCCTATAAAAAAGATCAAAGCTATTACCAAAAAATTAAACGGAATCAAACCGACTTTGATTATTCTAGAGCAATTCAAGGTTCAACACGAGAACAAATATTTTGGTAGATATTATGTTATACTAAATGGAGAAGATGACAATAAACTCCTCGAGCAGCCATGAATAATGATCATCTAACTCCTGAGGAACAGATAATATTTTATACAGTGTCCCAGATCACCTATCTACTATTCTTCTTCATTTTAATAACAAGCGTAGTCTCTGATACAAATTATTTCTTGATGTTGAGTTACAAATTTAATTAAATTTTTAGATTCAATGCTTCCTGGATCAAGCAACCGACTTAAATATTCTAGACCGTACATATGTTGGCTACTGGCCATAGCTTCAAATCATTCAAACTTAGGTATAGTTATGCTTGATCATGACATTACTTGCAATTATAGGCATATAATATATTTTGTATACGAATGTATTTTTACAAATTAAATTAAATCAAACAATTTAATAGATTACTTGAACTTTTAAACTATTTACATGTCTGCTTTAAAAACGGGTCAGTTGAAATATGCAAAGCTAATATTTATAATTCATCCATTAAATAATTTCGTAATTAATTATTTATATTTAAAATTCAAATCAGGATTAAAGAATTAATAGACTAAGTTTTAATGAAATGTCTTCGAAATTATAATTACATTTTATAACTACACAGTATTTTTTAAAATATACAAACTATCACTATTTACACATTTTTTGAATGTTGACGTTTAGAGGCAAAATTTGTCCTACACTACTAGTATTTTAATTAATAATTTACATGTTTAATTCTTTCCCTTAAAAACCAAACAAAATGAATAGTACACTTATGGTAATAATAAATTTTATCAAATGAGTTTTGATCAAATAAATAACAATGCTAAAGTAAGAATTGATTTCAAGACTTATTTTTTATACTTTTCCATTTAGCAACTATGAATGTTTCTAACTTTTTACATACAATAAATTATATTCACATTAAATTTATTAAGTCTTGAAATGTGAAAGGAATTGTTTATCATAAAATTACTACCCAAGAGAATGCTTACTGAGACTTTCTTGTAAATGGAGCCATTTTGCGCCAAATTAATCACTTTCTGCCATCGATGTCAGAAATTTTGTTCAAGTGGAATAGAGTGCAGAACACGCGGAACTAAAAGGAGTGTGAATATGAGAGTTCATTCATTTCGTCGCAAAACATAAACAATTTGGCGTGAAATTACCCTAAACATCATTTCTTTAAATATGCAAAGTAAGTTCTTATATTTCATAAAACGTCTACAGTATTCGAAATGTATAGTACAATGAATCATGATTTTACCGATATTCAATATTATTGCAACTGATCTTGTAATTGCGCGTATCGTGCTTGCAAAACACGTTCTCGCTCTGTTTGTCTATTAACATCTTCCATAAGTGCATTTACTCGTCTTGGTACCGCTGCCTCTTCTTGGGTTTGTAAAAATTTGAACGTCGAAAGTTCTAAATGTGCCTGCTCTATTTGCTCCCATAAATCATGTAACTGTTTCGTTAATACTTGTGCTCTAGTCTGTAATTGCAATAATTGTATGAAGGAGCAGCTAATATTAAATTTCATGAATTTTTTAGAGTTACATAAATCTAAATACCTGGTATCCTCCAGTGAGAACTTTTAGTTTTTTTTCCATTCTAGCAGCTCGTTTAGCTTCTCCAGTCATGTGCATTCGATTTTCTTCCAATTTTCTTTCACACGCTTCCACTCTATCCTTTTTCGAAGCTAGAGTCGCTCGTGTGTAACGTTTCTGGGTTTCCAAATACAAAATCTGGGACAAGCACTCCTCCCACACTGTTGTGTAAGAATCTAAACTGAGCTCTCCATGTGCCATACCATC